AGAATCAATCCNATCTTGCCCGACACCTGATCCTGCACAAGACAACCATCACGAGAAAAATGAACATCACAGTTATTATCAACCAATTGCCCGACTGAAATAAGACTGGTAGAAAGTTGAGGAGATACAAAAACATCTCTAATAGTTGAATCAACATCCCCAATAGCATGAATAGAAAACTGACAACCATTAGCAATCTGAATATGTGTCGATCCAGTATAAGTTCGAACATTGCCAAGAATATCAGAAGAACTAGTCATGTGATTAGATGCACCGGAATCAATAATCCATGAGGGAGAAAGCAAACTGTTACCTTGCAGTCCTAAGGCTGAAAATACGGAAATAATCATCTGTTGTACCTTCTCAAGAGTAAGAGCAGAGGAAGCACTAGGAGTAGCAGAAGGAGCGGGATCCACAGTAGCCTGATAAGCATTGGCCTGACGATTCTGGGGATGTGTAGGACACTCCTTAATAATATGCCCCGGCTTCTTACAGTAGTTGCAAAATTTCCGTGTACAATTGGTAGCAATATGCCCATATTCCTTGCAGCTGAAGCATTGAATGTTCCGCATGTCTCGACCCTTGCCTTTTCCTTGAGCAGCATAAGCCACTGCATCGGATATCATTTTGTCGTGCTGATAAGTGGCCTAGGTGGTAAGTCGTTGCTCCTCACAAAGTAACTCCCCAAAACAGATATCCAAAGATGGCACGGGATTGCGATTCATCAAATTAGAGCGAGTGGCTTCAAATTCAAGTCGTAACTTCATTAAAAATTGATCTCGCTTGCTTTGCGCATGAATTTCCTGCACAACTGAGAGAGAATCTTCTGGTACCTTGGCATAAATAATGTCAGTAAATTCTCCCCAGATATTATTAAATCCAGAAAAATAATCCTGAATGGAGAGATCACCCTGAGTATAACTAGCAATCTCGTACTCTAATTGAGAACGTCGAGCAATATTGTCTTGATTATAGACTCTTTTTAAGTATTCCCACGTAGATTTTGCAGTCTTATATGACCTTAGATTAAGAACAATAATAGGATCCACTGATCCTAAAATCCATGTCATCACCCGAGCATCTTTGGTTTGCCACTGAGCTAGTTTAGAAACATCTGTAGGAGCCTTATCACTCCCATAAATATGACCCCATAACTCTTTCCCCATAACAAATAAACGAAATTGAAATTCCCAGGCAGAATAGTTCTTACCCATGAATTTCACTGCAATAAAATCAGAAGACATGATAGCCGAATTAAACACTAACAAAAAATAGCCAATAACCAGCCCAAGAATAATCCCAAACAGTATCAACCAAACAATTTCAGAAAAACAAACTAGAACGATACCTGGCCAAAAACTTCAACAATCGATACCCAAAAATATTGAATCCCCAAACCACCCCAGAAGAGATCGACCACCACCAAGGAACCACCACAAACTGCCGACAAACGCAACACACCACCAGAAACTGTCGACAACCTCAAAACCAAAGATGTGCCACCAAGAAAGCACACCCAGAATGCGTCGAAAAACTCCAAGAAGCACTCAGACAGTGACAAAAATACCAAGAAGTCCCAAAAACAACGCCAATAGCACCCAAGAGGAAGCCCAACATGACCAAGAACACCGAGAAGAAAAAAAAACAGAAAACCCATACAAGAAAGGTTTGTAACTTAGGAGCCTAGCTCTGATACCATGTCAATTGGATTCAATGTCCTCTTAGTGAGGATTTCTTCTCATTATATAGGCACAAATGTGCAATATACAAGGCTAAAATCAAGCCTGAATTACAGCCGAAAATCTGCCTAAATTACAGCCGAAAATCTGCCTAAATTACAGCCATTAAATCTGTTTATACCAAAACTATACATATTCTGACTAAATAAGGAAGTGTATATATGTACAACTGGTGAAAACCATTAAGGAAAGCGTATCATGGTGACAATTGGTAATTCTGATTCATTTAGAAAGATGATATCCAAGTTCGAGTCAAGAGGAACCTGCTCTCAGCCTCACAATGTGAGGTGAGTAAGAAATAAATTCAAGACTCACCTAATGGGGTGGTTAGAATAATATGTGATCATTGTAACTCTCGGAACCCATTAGAAGACTATTTAAGGTGGGTAGATCAATTCTCTGTATCTATAGAAGACAGTCAAAACTGCTTCTTTGATTGTTGTCCAGATAGGTGTTTTTTATCTCTTACTTCACTGTAATGGACATTTAAGTATTGCTTAGATCAACACAATTAGCCTATTATGGAATAGCTTTTGTCTGAAATTGAGGTGAAGCTCAACGTGTCTTTAAGTATGAGTAATGCTATGCTTACTTACCATCTTACTAACCATCTTATTATCCTTTGAAAATATAACGCATAGTAAAGGTACTATGTGTAATTTTAACAAAGGTAGTAAATCGATTAGTAAAACTCGTGAGTAAGCATAGTATTTCTGCTTTAAGTATATGAGTTTAATATAGCTTAACCTTTCAGCGCAAGTACGATGGTTGTCCTGGGCCCGACCTGTAACTGGGGACGTGGCTCTAAAACTATGCCCTGGCCCGTGCCCATGCCCGCAAACAGCAGGTAATGCTCTGCTTTTATGGATTAGGCCGGTGCAATTGTCATCTCTAACAATTAACCTAGTATGGAATTGCTTTTGTCTGAATTTGGGGTGAAGTTCAATGTGTCTTTTAAGTATATGAGTTTAATGTAGCTTAACCTTTCAGTGCAAGTGCTTTCCCAGGCTGTCTCTTTCCCTCACCTTCCATTAAAGTCTACGTCAAACTAATAATATGGCATAGTGCTCAATGGGCCCTTTGAGAAGAGTTTCAACGTGTCATCTCTTTATTCTCTGTCCCACAAATTTGTCCAGACTCCCACAAGAAATAGAAGTGGCAGCATCATCAACACCTGCTGGCATTGAAAAATCAAGATTTCTTACTGAAATTTCCAAACTAACCCACCTAACTGTCAATTTTTAATCACCTTAAATGGTCCAGGTTCAGTGTATTTTAAGTTGATACAAAGATCATCAAACACAGCCAATAGTTTCTTTTACCATCCATCACACTGTCTGCAGATTCTCCAACCATGGCTGAAGTTGATCCAGCCTTNGCAGCTTAATTCCGCTAATGATTAGTTCTAAATTCAGAAGGCTTAGCTCATTAATTACATTTTTAAGAATGGTTATTTGTGTTCAATTTTTATTGACTCGTTTTGAATTTCACCCTCTACTTGCTGAGTTTGTCACTCTGCAGATTCATGAACTGGTATGACAAAAGTGGGCAGCAAGCATCAAGAACATTAGACTATGCAATCATGGAGGTAAATTTTCAGATTTTTTAAGAAAAAAACTTCTACAGACCTTGTACAAAATCCTTTGTAATTGTTGTAGAAGAACTGTAGGTTTGCATTTATATCATAAATTAACTCCACAGTCAGTACTAAGATGAAGATTAATCTCCAAGTGTCAAAATCTGTAATAGAATCCATTATTGAATAATTGTACAACCATGAAAAGACTGCCATCTGTTTCACCGTGACGGTGACGCCAAGGCACACGTCTATAATCTCATAAATTATTCTTGTTACCCCAGCTACCCACTGCTATGTCTTGTCCTACATATTTAAGAGAAAAGACATTAACCAATTAATGAAACCTATTTCTTTCAAGATTTTAATTTCTGTTTATCATAAATTATTGATTTTTTTTTAAAGAAAATTCTCTCTTATTCTAATTAATTTCATAGAAGTCACTTTTTTTTTTTTTTTAAAGTATAATATTTAAGTAAGTTTATATATACTTAAATTAATCCCTTAATTAATTCTTAAAATCTATTAAATATCTTATAAATATAAAAGATTAGATAAATTATATTGCATTAGATAAATTACAATGCAATAGATAACTTTAAGATCTGACCTTACTCAACGAAAGTTAGGGAATAAATGTCTTTGATTACGAGACTAATTCTCTAATGTCACATCCCTCGCATTTAAAGGAGGAAATTTATTTCCCTACTGATTACCTAATAATGCAATAAACATTAAAGAGTAACCATTGAATTATTGGCGAAGTTTCACGTGAATGCACCATCAGATTCATTTTTGGAATCTTTATTTATGAGAGATTGCAGAGTAGATGTGGATTGACCACATATCGCACTGACACCACCAGAATGCCAATTTTTGTTTTTTTCCATAAATCCACTAAAATCGTAAGGGTTCATTTTTTAAAGTTTATCATTATTTTTTGAAGTTTAAAGGGAACTACTAAATTCATAAAGACAGTAATATAAATTAACTTCATATTTGTCCAATTAGTAGAGCAACTGGGTCTCATAAGTCAATATTCTTTCCGAAGATTATGGCTATAATTAGTGAGAAGTAAGACTTTGTTTTCAAATTTGTATTCATTTAACCAGGTCTCAAGGAATCACCGGCGGCGCCCACGATTGCATTCCACTCTTTTCTTTTAAAACTTAAAAACATGTTAAAGAAAAAAAACTAAAAATGTGCTTAATCAAAGAAAAAAATTTGTAATTTTTTTTTTTTTTTTGTGTTTTTCTTTAGTTAAGAAAGCAAGATTGATAATAGAATAAAAAGAAGTTTCACAAATTCTTGTATTTAAGTCCTCTCAAATATTAATAGAAATAATCACTAGAATTTTTATTTACTTTAAGAAAAAAAAAAAATATTGAAAATAAAAGATAGACTTAACTTCCAAATTATACTCAAATTCAAAACATCTATATTTAGGATTTTTTTTTTTTTTTAATAAAAATTGTCTTTTCCCAATAGTTTTGAAGCTAATTTAGTAATTTCGAATCTTAAATGATTTGCCTTTCTGATACACTGTCTGTTTGACACGTTTGCTTTCTGATGGACTCGTTTCAACGAAATGGGACCGACCGAATTCAATTGTCGAGGTCCATTCTGATCATTTCACACTCCAAACTACGTTTCTTCCTTCATTTGATTTCACACTTCTTCCTCTATAAATTCAGTGACAAACTCCACTCAGAACCACCATCTCATCTCCAATCCCCTTCATCATTTTTCACTTGTTTTAATAGTCTCTTTCGATCGACCATGAAGAAGATCAGCGTTGCTCTTGTTGCAGTGTTGAGTTTGGTGGTGATACTATCACTCAAGGAAGTGCATGTGGCAGAGGCAGCATGTAGCCCAACAGAGTTGAGCACATGTAAGCCAGCGATCACTTCATCGTCCCCACCGTCGCCGACTTGCTGCAGCAAGCTGAGGGAGCAGAAGCCATGCCTTTGTGGGTACCTTAAGGACCCGAATCTGAAGCAATATGTGAACTCTCCCAATGCTAAAAAGGTTGCCAGCACCTGTGGTGTTACCTTCCCTAAATGCTGATCGAAAGCTCTTTACGAAGAGTTTATGTAAACTTTATTAATGAATAAGGGGCATGGAAGGTTAAGGTAATAGTAAACAATGGTATGTTGTTTTTATACAGTGTACTCTACTCATGGAGATGAATATATTATGAGTTGTGAATAAATAATAATTATTGTGATTCTATGTTTTATTTATTTATTTATGACTGTCATCTCAAAACTTATCATAAATCTGATTAAATATTCGTGGAATTTTATAATTTTTTTTCTTCCTCTTAGAGTCATTTTATGATCTTAAAAACGATGAGAGTGAAGTTGGTAAAAAACTAAAACAAAATGTTTTATTTTTAATACTTTATAATACATGTATATTTTGACATCGGTTATAGCATCGAAGTTAAATTAAACTTCAATAGATAACAAACTTTCAAAATAACATAAGTTTAATTCAACAAAAACCATCAAAAGCACTTCAATTTAATAATTTAGAAATCATATAAAGTTTTTTTTTTTTTTTTGGGTAAAAATATAAAGTTTTTTTTTTTTAATTCAACACAAAAAATAAATATATTATATTATATTATTCATAAAAAAATATAAGAATAAATCTTTATATATATATATAAACATGATTTAATGAGATTTTGTATAGCGGAAGTGATCTATGGTTACTATACATTAACTTTTTCAAAAAATTCTTTCTCCGTATAAATAATTAATGTATCTATAATAATAATAGGTATAAATGCATTAAATAAAGAATGTGATTATTTGTATTAATGTTTACAATATTATAGTTGAAAATGCACAGGGAGAGTTTTTTTCTCTCTCTTATTAAATGAAACTTGATTGCTTGTTAATAGTTGTTATTAATAAGAAATTAAAGAATAAAGATGAAGCCACTTTATCTTAAAAGACCATATAATCCAGATATTTCTAGCGTTACAAAAACTATGGGGTGGTCAAAGCAGTAATTTAAAACATTTTACACATAGGATGTATGGTCTCTTTCAAAGGTCACCTTAGGACTAAACATGGTTCCCACCCTGGTTCACAAACATGGTTCAAATTTCAATACATAAACACAAATAGAGCATGAGTAATACAGACACCAAAATTTTATACCAAATTTTTGAATCGAAGGACATGACAACCAGTCAGACGCGATCACGTTAGAGCTTTTTATGAATGAATAATCATCTAATATTTATGGACATCCGTTCATATTTAATAGATTCTCGTTCATATTATATGGATGGGTGTCTATTTATTATGAACAAACGTCTTTTTAAGATGGATGCTCGTCCAAAAAATTTTAAAAGAAAAATAATGGACGTCTGTTCATCTTATATGGGCGGGTGTCTATTTACTATGGACGAGCGTCCATATAAGATGGACGCCCGTCCAAACAATTTTAAAAAATTTTACATTTACTATAGAAAACAATTTTTAAAAAATTTGTATTCAATGGATAGGGACGCCTGTCCATTGTTTATATTCATTAAATTTTTGCCATTTAACTTTTGTCGATGTTTAAAATAATTGGACAAATTTCATTAAATTTGTGTCTATATTCAAAGCTAAAGGTAGGCATTTGGGACTGGGTCTAAAAACTAAGCCCAAAAATTCGGTCCTAAGAGGCCTAGTCCCAAAACTGGACCAGCCTTAGGAGGAGGGTTCAATCCCTCCACTGGGCCCTCCTCCAAGGCTCTGTCCTAGGTCTGGGTCCAAATTTTTTTTACATATTTTCGTTTTAGTCCCTTGTACAATTACTAAAACCCTTATAAATTTTGAAATAAATATAAATTATAGGGGTTAAAAGAAAATTTTACAAAATTTATTTTAAAAAAAGAAGTTTTCCAGGCCCTAAAAAATTTATAAAATTTACCCCTAAAAAATACTAAAAACGCCCTACAAAATTTTGTTTCACCCCTAAAATAAAAAAAATCGAGGAGGGAAAGAAATTTTTCAGACCCATAGGACCGGTTCTGGGCCCATAGGACCAGTCCTAGGGACCGATCCAGGTCCTAGAATTGCTCATGGGCCTGGGACCGATCCCAGGACCAGTCCCAAATGGGCCCAAGCCTGGGCCTGCTTGGGACGTGTCCTTAACCAGCTCTATTCAAAGCAATTGGATGGATGCCCAATTAAATAAGAATAATGCTAGGGACACCGATTTTTTACACCAAAATTTTTTACAGAACGACGTGGCATCCAGTCAGACGCAAACACGTTGGACAAAAAGAATAATGCTACAGGCACCGATTTTTTGCACCGAAATTTTTTATCGAACCACATAACACAGACGCAGACACATTGGATAGAAAATATGTCTTCTTTGAATGGATGGTCGTCTAATAATTATGGATGACCATCTATACTTTATGGATGATTGTCCATCATAAATAGACGTACATTCATATTATATAGATGGATATCTATTTACTATAGACGAACGTCTATACCCATTTAGAAAATTTTAAAAATAAAATGATTGACGCCTATCTATTAATTTAATAGGGATGGCCGGTCGGCCATATACAATGGACAGCCGCCCATATGCAATGGACGACCGTCCGAATCATCATTATGTTTATACGTTTTTCAAGGGCTACCCACTTGCTCCATATTTCTTTATCAATTTTTGTGTGGTCACTGTTATGAGTGAAATTTAACTGGTAAGTCAATGCCAAAACAGTACCTTCTGCCTAATTTGACCTCTGAAAATAAGTTTTGATCTACATTCATTTTGAAACACTTTTTTATCTGCCAGAGGAACTCTGTATCTAGACACTGGCGTATTATATTGGAGCAAATCTCAAATGTTGGTTAAATTCTACCTTATATGGACGTCTGTCTGATATTTTTATGGACATTTGTCTATTCATGATGCATAGACATCTATAAAATATAGATGATCATCCATTATATATGGACAGATGTCCATCTTATATGGACGTCTATCTATAGTTAATGGACATCCATCCATATAATATGGATGAGAGTCTATTGATATTTTTATAAACACTCATTCATTCGTGATAAACAGTCGTCTGTAATTTTTGGACGGTCATCCATTCATGGGAGATGTGTTTTCTATCCAGAAAAATGCTATGGACATCAACGTTTTGCATCGAATTTTTATACCGAATGACGTATCCACTGATTCAAACAAGCCACATATCACGTTAACAAATATTCTGCGAATGAATGACTGTCCATCAAATATGGATGATCATCTATTATTATTAGACGATCGTTCATTTGAAATGGACTGTCGTTCATATTATATGGATGACCCTCCACCTAGAATAGACTTCCGTTTATAGTTTAAACTTAAAAGATTTGTCCTAAATTATTTATGGATGCCCGTCCTCTTATGAGGACGACTATCCATAGTTATGGATGCCATATTTTAATATTAATAAATTTTAAAATTTAAATTTATTAAATGCATTAATTGTCCAAAAGTTGACAAAAGTTATTTAATGCATTAATTTATTTAATTGGCCGTCCATCCAATTGCTTTGAATGTGGACAAAAATTTAATTAAATTTGTCTAATTACTTTAAGAACAATACTAGTCTTACAAAGACAAAAACAAAGAGGGCATACAAAGATAATTTACATCCTTTATCTTCACGATTTCTCTCTCTTTCTCCCTCTTTTTTTTGTTTTTTCTTTATTTTTTCCTTCCTGCTGATGTCACTTTGTAGCTCTCTTTGTATTGTCTTTGTAAGAATAGCATTTTCTTACTTTAAACATTGACAAAAGTTAAATGGCAAAAATTTAATGAATATAAACAATGGACAGGCATCCATATATAAGGGACGCCTGTGCATTGAATGCAAACTTTTTTAAAATTGTTTGGTCGGGCGTCCATAGTAAATATAAAATTTTTTAAAATTATTTGGACGGGCGTCTATCTTATATAGACGCTCATCTATAGTAAATAGACACTTGTCCATATAAGATAAATGGGTATCCATTATTTTTCTTCTAAAATTTTTTAGATGGGTGTCCATCTTAAATGGATGCTCGTTCATAGTAAATGGACACTCGTCCATATGATATGAACGGGAGTCTATTAAATATAGACGGACGTCCATAATTATTGGACGGTCGTTCATTCACGAAAGACTTCAGTGTGCTTGCGTCTGACTAGTTGCCATGTCCTTCGGTACCCAAATTCAGTGTAAAATTTCGGTGCTGTAGCATTACTCATAAATATAATAGACAACATCGAAATTAATAGTATGAAATAATTTTCACACACAGTGTAAAAAGAAAAAATAATTTGACATAATTCACTACAAAAAATTTAAAAAAAATGTGACAAAGATTTTCGTCACAAAAAGTGAAAAATTCGTCCTAAAAAGTAATACGGGGCGACATTCCAAATCTTCCCTAAAGCTGCGTTACTAAATGCCTAAAAAAAAAAAAAACCGTCCCAAAGCCATGTCATTGGGGACAAAATATGGTTTTATTATTAAAGATTATTTATTTTGTGACGAAATTTTTCGTCCACAAAAGATAGCACTTTTAGGGTATGACGTATAAAAATATAAATATAATAGATAACATCGAAATTAATAGTATGAAATAATTTTCACATAGCATAAAAAGAAAAAAAGCTCCTGGTTAGTTTTTAAAACATTACTATTCTCAATGAGATTAGTTGGATTCTCTGTCATGAGTGCAAGGTCGAGATTTTGAACACCCAAATAATACTCTATCTACTCACTCCATTCATTATAACTGAACCCATTAAACTTAACAACAGACAAGACATAAAGAGCAGATGCTACAAAAACATAATTGTATATTGAAAATCTCCTTTGGGAGATATAATAATATACGATAATTAAACTTAATTGATGCAATTTTCTTAATTGGTAATCAAATGTACTTTCGTTAGATATGTTCGTCATCTTTGGATATACTAAACATACATAATCAAGTATATTAATTAACCACAGTTATGTCCATAATTATAGGATTAACTAATCTACTTTGGGCGATCCTTATCTATTCTATAATTTATGAACTTCAAATTACTCATGTCAAATAGATCATGTCATCTCTTTAAAGCATCTAATGATCATGAGTAATTGAATCTAACTTAGTTTGATATCTATGAAATAACCATTTTAATTTGACCACTTTGGTGATTAACAAATTATACATAATG